CTAGTGGTATTTACATAGCCAAGTAATGTGTGTGATTTTTGTCACTTAGGCACTGTTCAGACTTTGCTTCTGCCTATAGCCAGGATTACAAAGATGGGAGAGGAGGAGAGTGCTTCTGTGTTTTAGTCCCATAGTCTAAGGGTTAGGGCACTGGCCAGGAAGTAGAAGCCCTTGGTTCTAGGTGTCCCTCAACCCCGGGGGTGGGGGTTGAATTTGACGAGGCTGAAGTTGGTTGTTTATTCCTGGTTCCCTGTTCCTTATTCCCAGTTCCTTACTCCTTATTCCTGGTTCCCAGTTCCTTTACAAAGCTAATCTAGACCCAATAAAAGCTTGTTATTAATGAATTACAAATCCTAAAGAGAGAATTTCATTAGTTATGCATATGTACTAATTAATATGTAAAATAATTTCCCACATCAAGTACAGAGGCCTAAATGAAGCTCAGATTAGGATGTGATTATGGGGCAAAATACTTCTTAGGCCACCCCAGACTTCCTCTCGATGCCACCTGGGGACTGTCCCAAAGAACCCTGACCACAGTCCTGCCCGGCCCAAAGCACAGTTTGGCCGTGTCAGGCTGCCAACTGATAGCCCCTATGCCCGCTCTACTAAGTATAATGGCTCAAATAAGGAACAGGTTTTTGGGCTAGCATTATGGCTAAAAATTGTTTGGGCCACCCACCAGAATATCTCTGCGCCACCAAGGGACTCCCGCAGACGCATCTGACCAGAGACATGCTGGCCCCAAAGCATGGTTTGGTCGTGCCAGACTGCCAACTGTCAGGACCGCTGCCACTGTGATAAGTATATAGACCCGAATAATGAACTAGAATCTGGGCTGTGATTTATAGCTAGAAATCCTTCTTGGGACACCCCATGCCATGCCTCTGTGGCACCGGGGGACTGTCCTGGACATCTCTGACCAGAGACCTGACCAGCCCAAAGCACGGTTTGGCTGAGCCAGGCTGCCAGTTGACAGCACTCCAGCCCCTGTGCTAAGTATATGGGTTTGAATTAGATATTGGTTTCTTGGGTGGGATTAGAGATGGAAATGCTTCTTGGGCCACCCCACACTATGACTCTGTGGCATCAGGACACTCTCCTGGACATCTCTGACCAGCATCTTGCCCACCCAAAGCGTGGCTCGGCCATGCCAGGCTGCCAACTGACAGCCCCCCACTCCCACTGTACTAAATGCATTGGCTTGAATAAGGAATTGGCTTTTGGGCTGGGATTATACTTAGAAATCCTTTTTGGGCCATGCTGTGACACACCTCTGTGCCACCAGGGAACTCTGCTGGACATCTCTGACAAGAGACTTGCCTGGCCCAAAACACGGTTTGTCTCTGCCAGGGTACTAACTGACAGCCCCCCAGCCACTGTGCTAAATATATGGACCTAAATAATGTCCTCTCCCCTCCAGTGCTTCGGGTCTGACCCCATCCCCCTCCCCACTTTGGATCCAAGCCCAATCCCCTCCTTCCTCCCACCACTTCAGTTAGATCCCACTCCCACCCCCTCCCCGCCACTTCAGGTCTGACCCTGCTCCCCTCCTCCCTCCCCAGCCACTTTGGGTCTGCCTGCCCCCCATCTCCCCCTGGCTGCTGGTTGTTCTGGGGGGCATCCAGGATGGGCAGCCAGTGCAATACCCCATTTGCCCTCAGGCAGGGAGGCCGGGGGCCCTTGGGCGGCTGGGGCACATTCCCCACCGCCAAAATTCCCCGGCAGCGGTGCAAACTTGGGCCCATGCAATGTGTGCCACCCAGCCAATAGCCACCCGCCCTCTTGGGGGTGCACGCGCAGTTGGCTAGAAGCATTATGGACAGTCAGACATACAGACAGACACACAGACAGACAGACTAAGCCTTTTATTATATTAGTGGGCTGGGGGGGGGAGTGGGGCTGCAGTTAGCAGCATGGCATGAAGAAACCATGCTCTGGGCCGGGCAAGACTCTGGTCAGGGATGTCCAGGGCAGTCTACCGGTGCCACAGACTCATAGTGTGGGGTGGCCAAGAAGGATTTCCATCTCTAATCCCAGCTCAGAAAGAGTTCCTCATTAAAGCCATTGTCCTTAGTACAGTTGCTGGGAGGAGTGGTGGGGGAGGCGGGGAGAGGCTCTGAGTTGGCAGCGTGGCAGAGCCAAACCCTGCTTTGGGCCAGACAATACTCTGGACAGGGATGCCTGGGAGAGTCACCCAGTGCCACAGAGTCAGAGTGGGGTGGTCCAACAAGGACTTCGTCTCTAATCCCGGCCCAAAAAACAGTGCCTTATTCAAGCCATTTTACTTAGAACAGTGCCTGGGGTGCTGTCAGATAGCAGCTGGGCATGGCCAAAGCGCCTTTTGGGCCAAGCAAGTCTCTGGTCAGAGACGTCCATGAGAGTCCTCCGGTGGCACAGAGGTATGCCATGGGGTGACTCAAGAAGGATTTCTAGCTGTAATCCTAGCCCAAAAGCCTGTTTCTTCCTCAGGTTCACATACTTAGCACAGTGGCTGGGGTACTGTCAGTTGGCAGCCTGGCACAGCCAAACCATGCTTTGGGTCAGGCAAGTCTCCAGTTAGATACGTTCATGAGTGTCCCCTGGTGGCACAGAGATGTAGTCTGTGGTGGCCCAAGAAGGATTTCTAGCTATAATCCCAGCCCAAACCCAGTTCCTTATTCAAGCCCCATTATACTTAGTAGAGTGGGCGTGGGGGCTGTCAGTTGGTAGCCTGGCACGGCCAAACTGTGCTTTGGGCCGCGCAGGACTGCGGTCAGGGTTCTTTGGGACAGTCCTCCAGTGGCATAGACAGGAAGTTTGGGGTGGCCCAAGAAGTATTTTGCCCCATAATCGCTTCCTAATCTGAGCTTCATTTCGGGTTCTGTATTTGATGTTGGATATTATTTTACATGTTAATTAGTATATCTACCTTGCTAATGAAGTGCTCTCTCTTTAGAATGTGTAATTCATTAATAACAAGCTTTTATTGGATCTAGATTAGCTTTTGAAAAAGGAAGCAGGAACCGGGAATAAGAAACCGGGAACAAGGAATAAGGAACTGGGAATAAGGAACCAACTTCAGGCTCATTGAAAGATAAAAATATTTCAGGCTCATTGAATTTGCACCTCTCATTTCCCAAGAAATGGCCAACAATTTAACCGGCCTGCTCTTGAAGCTGCCCCACTGGGCAACTCAGGCCTACTCCTGAAGCTGCCCCACTGGGCACCTATGAGGTGGCATAGGTTAGTGACATGGTCACATGCTCTGGAAGGGAAGAAGTTCCAGCCCCAGATCCCCCACAGATTTTCTGCACTTTGCATTTCATATTCATTGGATAACATGGAGAACTAGCAACAGGATGGTGTCTGCCCCACTGGTGACATTCTCTTGATGTCCTGCTATCTTCCAGAAATTGTCAAGTTAGCACTACTAATGTACTTTCTATCCCATGTCCTGACCAAACTGTATTACACTGGGTGGTTCTTGTTTTGTTTCCTTCCTTCAGTATTTGCTTCAGTTTCTACTGGTCTGTAGTTTGCTCAGGAACAGAAGGTTTGATCTTGGGTGGGTGGCTGGTGGTTATATCCGGCTTATCCAGTATGGAATTCTTTGCTCTTGGTTAGACTACAGTGTGCTTGAAGGAGAGGTGGAAAAATCTCTTCAGTGAGCCTGAATATTCAGCTTTAAAATTTCCCGAAGGTCTCACTGGCACAGGCCCCCATCAGGGAGATGATTCCCTGTAAGCCAACCCTGCCTTCAGTGGGGCACCATGCAGTGCAGGGATCCACCCACAGCCTCTCGCATGATAAGGGCTCTGCAGCTCTAGGAACCTTGTCTACAGTGTTGCTACTTCAGGGACTGTAAATATGTTTTTAATTTCTTTAGGTTACATTAGACCTAAGAAGGGACTTCTAGTCATCTTATTGTGCATGTTATTTTTTAAACATCTTTTTAAACTTCAATGGCTAATTTTTATTTAGATGAAAGGAAGGGACTTTGTAAAGTCATCTCCCAACCTGAAATATTTCTATTAAGATGTAAAAATGAATATACAGTAGAAATGGCAAATTTCTTGTGTGGCAAGAGATTCATTTTATTTTGATTTTTTTGTTATGGCTCATGGACTGGAGCATAAACTTCATTCACTAATTTTACAACTAAATTCATACCCATGTCAGTGTGAGGTTTGCACAGAAATCAATGCAGGACATGGTTTCTGTGCAGTTACCAAAGGTGTAGTTGTAATGATAGGTGCACATTCACTTCCCTTTAGTACCACTGGTATTTTTCCCCTTTCTTTTCTTTGTCTTTCCTTACTTCACTTTCCCTGTTCCTTTAGCCTTCCCGATATTTGAGTATCTCCTGTCTTTCCTTAGTGTTTTTCTCCTTCAGCAGCTTTTGACTGCTTAGTGGTCATGAGTATCTTCCACAAGGCCTTCGATGAAATAGCAATGAAATGGTTAGTGGTTAATTTAACTGAGATGGTTAAAGTGTCATCTGATGGAGTTATAGAAAACTGTGGTCTGTTAGCCAGTGTGGATGAATTCACCATAATTCTGATTCTCTACTAGTGCTGCCCCCCCTCTCCCCGCCTCTCTCAATTATTAACTCTGTATAAGTGATCACTACTTGATAATTCATGCAGATTTACATTCCCCTGGGAATCGTACATTAATTAGGGCTGACTATAAGCAGTGTGGGGGAGTTTCTAGTTCTCGGGGCCATTGTTTCAGGCTTCCTGTACACACATACCTGTCTTTATTGCTTAAATATTACTTGCATCCTATTCCTTGCATCTCATTTACATCCCTGTTTCTCAGTGTGATAATCCTAAATTCACCACTTTTCTTTCAGATAAGCGGTCATTCCTACAGGACTTTAAGAGCCCAGAAAGGAAGAGCAACTGCATCTACATTGTCAGTATAATTCTGCTCCTTCTCATCATTTGGGTCTTAGCAATTGCACTAGGTAAGTTTTTTTGATTATTGGGAAGAGCTGGAGTAATACTCTGTTACAGGGGTCAGAAACATTTCTGGTCAGGGTGCTAAAAATGCATGCAACCTTGACTTATAAGGTGTTGGCATGCCAGGGACACCTGACAGGGCAGCTGTGAGGGCCTGATCCTTGTCGTGGCAGCGCACCCCGACCCCTTCCCCACCATTTGCCCTGAAGCATACATTCCAAGCAAAAAACCCGTGTGTGCCAGGAGTTGGCTACACCTATTACCTTCTTTTAAATATATATTTTTATCTCTAATTGACACTCCTAAGCTTTGTGCAGGTAAATAGTAAAATTATTCTCCACTGTTACATGATGTGCAAGGAGCTAAAATTACCCATGTCTTCACTTCTTGATCCCTCTGCAGTCCTAATAGACTTTTACTTGAACAGCAATGTAAAATAGTGTCACCCAGAAATGCTATTGTGGTTAAATGCTCATTTACTGTCATTTTAATTATGTTTTAATTCCTAGTTTTGAAACAGCTCATGTTCATTCTGCCCTGGTGAAATTCCATTAAAGGTGCTATTGGGATAGGCCTGAAAATGCCATTTACACTAAAGGGAAGGCAGAGGGGAAATCAGCCAAAGAGATTGGTTCCCAACCAGTATTGTTTTGTTGCTTTTTATTTTTTGCTTTATTTTCTTAATCCCCCTTTTTGACCCAAGGGGCCAGCCAAATTCACGGGTTGTCGTGGTTAGCTGAACAACCTGCAGGTCCCTGCAGATTGGAACACGAGTTTAACTGGGGATCATTTGCAAGGTAACACCATGAAGCTCTGTGTTCTTGGAGGATTTGGGGATGGCTCTGAGCACGTGCTGCACCACATGGCTGCAAACAGCAGCACCGAGCAGACCACTCTTCTAATGAAGATCCAAGTTCTTGCAATCCAAATGGAGTTACTTTATAACTGCACAGAGCTGTCTGCATGAAACACGGTGGCAGCAGATGAGAACCACAGTGAAGAATGTGTGATTTGAAGCATCACCCACACAGGGAAGAAAGCAGGCAGCATGGAGGGCCTCAGACCCCTTGCATATTTGGATTTCTATCAAGAAACCTGGGAGCAGCATGGAAGCACTGGAAGGAAGAGCTAAACATACACATGGCTGACTGCTGGACAAGATGAGAAAATAAAGATAAATCTTTCTCATTACCTCATTGGGACAAAGGGCATAGAAGTGAATGCAACACTTCTGAGGGGCCTAATATGTCAGAGCAGCTGAGGAGGGCTTTTGATAAGTAAACATTAAGTTAAAAGTGAGACTGTGGAAAGGTACTCTTTTGGGCAGGGGGTGGCTTTTGAGGTGGGGGGTTGCACAGTGGGTTGTTTTTTTTTAAACCGGGAATCAGGATTTAGAAGAGGAATAGATAATTATGTTACAGAGCTGAAAACATTGGCATCCAGTATAATTTGGGGACCATAACAAACTCTCTTATTAGAGACAGAATGATTTGTGGGACATCTGATCCTATCCTAGGGAAGAGATTGTTTAGAGAGGCTGATCTGCCTCTGGGCAAGTGTCCAAATTTTACAAGCAGCTGAATCAGTTAAGGGAAGAATCACAACAATTGCTGGTGTAGAACAAATACACAGGGTCAATATGAAGAGACCCGGGAGCCAGAACAAAGATGGGACTACTGAAAATGTGGTCCCCAGGGTCCAGTGCTGGTACTAAGGGAAACAGGATGTAAGACAGAAGAAGTGCCTAACATATGGCAAAGATGCCTTAGCTTTGGGACACAAAAACAGGTTTTGTGTCCCAATGCTGCAACATCCGCAAAAGAAATAAAGCCAGAATATAAACAGTAAGGGAGGACACTGAAATGTTTGATAAGTGAGGTGAAGACTTTTCTGTGACTTTAGGAGTTTGAAATACTCTGAACATGCATACTCTACAGAAGAAAGCTGATAAACTGTCATCTGCTATATTTGCAGCTCTGCTAATGAACCAGCAATCAGTCAGATTTCAGCTTGATGGTGGAACCAGATGCAAATTCCTACACAACTACTCTCAACAGTGAAATCCAATTGGAGAGGTGTGAGCAAATGTAGAGGGACCTACTTAAATTGTGGTTTTGCGATTTGCATGGAAACTATGAAAAACGGCATTTGCTGCGATTACCACGAAAAATACATTTCCCACAATTTTGTGTGGAATCAGTGGAAAAAATAAAATAAAATAAAAGCTTAGCAGAATACAAAGAAAGCATGGCAATTCCTGCAGGCATTGAGCAGGTGGGTTGAGAGAGTGCTACTGTAGACGCTGAGCTGGTGACATAGACACAGTGAAGGCTCTAGTCAGGAAAGTGAAAGAGTTTTGACCCCTTCTTTTAAGAAGCCACATGCAATGCTGCAATCTGAAGATGCTGAATGAAAAGAAATCCAAGAAAGCTAATTACATTTCAGCTCAGAACCATGTAAGGAAGCTCCCTGTAGGAACCTTGCATGGAGATGGTGGTAAATTATTTTGTTCACTGTGGATCGTGACCCCGGATGCATCGAGGAAAAACAGCACTGATTGGCATTTAGAGTCTGAATTGCATATAAAACAAAAGGCTGCTGCAGAGCCTGAAGGTTAGAGCAAGAAACAAAGAACTATGTCCTCAATCTTTAACAGAACCACTGAAAGCAGTTTGACAAGAAGAAAGGCTACATTCGCACTAGTGGAGGCATTCATGGCCGACAGCATTCCTCTGGAGAAAACTGATAACCAGGGCTGTCCCGTCCTATCCTTTGAAATCTGAGGCTGCAGTAGGCCTCCGCAACCAAGGCCACAGAGGACCCCACACCCTGCAGCTGTGGACACTCTGGCACCACCCCCGCTGCCACCCCCACCGGTTTCTGCAGGTGCTTGCCACTCTCCCCCTGCACTGCTGACAGCTTCTCCACATCAGGGGGCCCCAAAACTATAACTTGCAGGGGAAAAAACTTTGGGCCAGCCCTGTTGATAACCTTAAATGAAGGTACTACTTGAAGAAATATGTACTAAATGCTGAGAGTTTCCCATATGCAAACAATCTTCACCCAGATCAACCAGCAGGAGTCATAGCTTTGGATCTTCAGTCTGATTCATATTCTGCCAATGCATATTTTGTCATTTCAAGTGTAGTACACAAAGCTACAAATGCCCGAGATAACAATGTTCTGCACTTTTTTTTTCTGTACCTGGGAACGGCACATACCATGACCTGCCTGTTTTTCAAACAGAGCCAATTCACCTTGCATCTCTCAAGTTTTCTACTGTGGTACAAGCTATAGTGAGCAGGGGTGCACCAATAAATATTGTTTGGGGCAGAACCGATGGCTGATGATTAACCAGCCATATCAACCAATACCGATCCGATAGCTGTTATGCAGCCCAGGAGCTTGGAGAGTACCATTCAGCTGGTAAGTCTAAGGGGGGGAAGGGGTATGGAGGGGGCAGGTCAAGGCCATAGTGAGGGAGGGAGTGGGGCTGGGACTGAAGGAGCGGCAGAGGCAGGGGCATGGGTAGCCACTGCCCAGCCGGGACAGGGTGGGGTGCAGGACAGCCACAGGCAGCTCGTTGGGGAAGGGCAGGTTGGAAGGGGCAGCTCCCACTGCTGCGTACACCCCAGCGGGGTATGGGAGACATGTACCCCCAGATTTGTGCACAAGGCAAGGGCAGGCTGCCGCTGCAGGTTTGGGGACAGGAGCTGCACCGGCTTCTTCCTGACGGGGGGCTGGGTCGGGGCTGTGCTGAAACAGGTGGCGGTGGTGTTGGGAGGGGGAGCTACAGAGGGCTACGACAAAATTTGTTGTGGCTGTACTCTCCCGTGAAGCCATTGCTCCCCATACCACTGCCCCAACCCCCCCGC